TTTTTTATAATGTGGTGAACAAAACTGGATGCAATACTCTAGGTGTGGCCTTACTAAGGCTTTACAGAGTGGTATTAGTACCTCCCTTGATCTCGATTGTATCCCTCTGTTAATGCAACTTAGGATTGCATTAACTTTTTTGGCGGCGGCTGCTGCACACGGCTGGCTCCTATTTAGCTGGTTGCCCATTAAGACTCCAGGATCCCTCTCCCAGTTCCTGCTATTATTCTAGACTGACCCCCCTTTTGACTCCGCCTCCAGGTCCTGCCATTCCTTCTTCTACAACCACATCCTCCATATAGTGAGGCGCCTTCCATTCAAAACGCGAGTCGTCCATCTTGTTTCTCTCTTCCAGGACGTTTTTGGGACTCTCAGAACTCCAAGTCTCTCTTGTTGGGCTCCCCGGGCAGCCCCGTAACCAAGATGGTGGCTGTGGGCGGGAAGCTCTGGTGTGGATGCCAGAACCGAATCGTGATCCTCAAGACTTCTACGCTGCTTCAGGAGGTAAGAAGGGGCCAATTCTAGCTCCACCAGTTTCTGAAGGCATATGCTCTCTCTTGGAGCATATGTGGTTAGACATAATAGCATTCTTTTTCTAAGTCAAGGTCATGTTATCTCTGCACCTCGGTGAGGGGAAGTCTCAAGTTGGGACGGAGGATGATTGGGGCATGTGATGCAATTATTGTCATGCCCCTGTTGGGGTCTGATTCGGAGGGAGAGGCCAAACAGCTGACGGGGTGGGAGTGTGGCTCCGTTGGCTGCGGAGAAAACTGGGGAAGGACAAAGTCCGTCTGGGCAGAGCAGGGGAGAAGGAGAACAAGGCAGAGGGAGTTCAGAGGAAGACCCAGGCCCACCCCCTCTTCATCCTAGGGCACGCAGGGAGGAATGGAGAAGGGAGCAATGTGGGTTGCGTGGCTTACGGGGGAGGAAAGGGCCCTGATTCCCTTCATTAGCAGCCGCTGGGAACACAAGTGTTTAAAAAGGGAAGCTGTGCACAGCAAGTTGTTGGGAGCAAATTGTGAATTTATTTGGCATCATCACGGCCTATCTGGGTTCCTGGCATCTTCCCAACTGCGTGTGTTTTGCTGGCCTTTCAAGTCTGCAATTCCTTCTCCTGCCCTGTCAAGTTAATTGCTGCAGCGTGGATTTGTGTGGATTTTGTTTTTGGGGCTGAATTTCCTCCACTTCGAGGCTGTTCTTGAGAGAGTTTTTCTCCAGCCGAAGGTAACCTGGACATTGGGGGCAAAGTTGGAGATAATCAAAGGGATTCTTCTTGCTTATTGGACTGTGCTGCCTTTGTGCCACGTCCCTTGGGGTCATCCCAGATGGGTGCAGGGGGTGGATTTGTAATTTTCTACTTATTGCAAGGAAGCCCAGAACTTTCAGATTCGGGATTTCCCAGATGTGCCACTTTACTACTCAAATTAAAAGAGGATGTCTGTCTCAGAGTTTGGAATGCTGACAGATACACTGAGGAGTAAGTGACACGAGTATCTTCGTGAGAACTCAACTGGGCCTCTTTGCTCTCCTCCGCAGCACACATTCCTGGTCGGGCAAGACAGCCACCGTAGCGTGACCTGTTTAGTGACCTCTAGCGTCGGGATTTGGGTGACCCTCCAGGGCAGCGCCCAGGTCAGACTTTATCACCCTGCCAGCTATGACCAGCTGGCTGAAGTGGACGTCACCCCTCCGGTCCATAAGATGCTGGCAGGTAAGAACACCCCAAATCGGAGGCCCTTGCAGCTCCGTGCACGAGATTGCGGTATGTGTGTATGTGTGTGTGAGAGAGCATATTTGTATGTCTTTTATGAGATGAAGTGGCTGGACACACCGCCCTCTTAAGACAGTGGTTCTCAACTTTGGCCACTTCAAGAGGTGTGGATTTCAACTCCCAGAATTCCCCAGCCAGCAGGTTGCCTGGAGAATTCTGGGAGTTTAAAAGAGTCTGTTAGGGATATACACCCTAGCAGAACCTGCACGGCAGTCAGGCAGGCAGGCAAATATGTGAGACAAACGTTTTTGTAGCTTACACTCAGTAAAACAGATACAATGTGCTAGTTAAATAGTTTTTCCAGTAAGATTTTTAGCATAGTCAAACAGTCCATATATCATTCACTATTTCAGTCCGTCCGGGGATTATTCAGTTGCAAAGTCCAGTGTCGAAAAAGAGGTCATTAAACTTACAAATATCAGTCCAGTAATATATCTCTTCGCAGTAGAGATATGAAGAAGTCAAACCTCCTTTCTTCCTTCAGCAACAGCAGAGAACACGCAGTTAACAATCCATCATCGTCAGCAAGCAATCCAGTAAGCCAGCAATCAATCAAGTTCTCTTGCTCCCTCTTATGGCGCTTTACAGCCGCACCCAAAATTACAAGCTTTGCAGTTAAAGTGACACACACTTAAACTCACTATCATAGTCTATATATATTATTTTACCCAAACTGCGTTAGGTAACCTATGTTATTCCTAACAGAGTCCATCTCTGGTAGCTGGGGAATTCTGGGAATTGAAGTCCATCCATGCTAATTAGGGGAATTCTGGGAGTTGAAGTCCACCTGTGCTAGCTGGGGAATTCTAGGTATTGAGGTCCACACATGTTGCCTGGGGAATTCTGGGAATTGAAATCCACATATTAAAACCCCAGCTTTAGGAAACTCTGAACTATATTAAGAGCACTGAGTTTGGTAACCTACACAATATTATTATCCTGGCTGGGGAACTCTGGGAGTTGAAATCCCCGCATCTTACGGAGGCTGAGAAAACCGGATCTAAAACATTCCCATCTCCTTTCAGTCATACTAGAAATAATCAGTTGATGTATAATCAATTAATGCAGAGCGTATGATAAACCAAGTAATTATGCAAGCAGACACAAGCCTGGCCACTAGATATCAGCACATACCAAACAAAAATACTTTTTAAAAAGAAAATACTGCACAGATGAGCATTTGTGAGGGTGATGCACGGCTAACAGATTGGAAATTCATTTCTCATGAAATGCTAAACCCTTACATTTCATATACTACTATTATTAAGAATTAAATTCTTTTTCTCATAATTTTTTTGCTGCCATCTAGCTTGAGGAAGGGGATTTATTGCAATGACAATGACGATCTTCAGATAATGAGAATTGTCCATCAGCCAGCCATTCCAGGTTTTGGAAAATTGGCCCCTTGCATTATCACATCAAAATCCCAGAATCCGTTTCCCCCAGTCAGTAGTTATTCCTCTTTAAATTTCTGACTTAGGGATGCTAAGGAATTTTTGTAAGTTACCTCGTCACTGAGAGTGAGTGGGCAGCTATATAAATTGGTCATGAATGGATGGGTGAATGAATGAATAACACATAATCAAAGTTGGGAGGGACCTTGGAGGTCATCTAGTCCAACCCTTCGCCCAAGCAGGAGACCCTACACCATTTCTGTCAGAGGGCAGTCCAGTCTCTTCTTGAAAGCCTTCAGGGATGAAGCTCCCCAACGTCTGAAGGCAACTTCCGTTCCATCGTTTGATTGTTCTGTCAGAAAATTTCTCCTTATTTCTAGGTTGAATCTCTCCTTGATCAGTTTCCATCCATTCTTCCTTGTCTGGCCTTTGGGTGCCTTGGAGGATAGCTTGACCCCCTCCTCCTCTCTGTAGCAGCCCCTCCCTCAAATATTGGAAGATGCCATCATGTCCCCCCTGGTCCTTCTTTTCATTAGACTAGACATACCCAGTTCCTGCAATTGTTCATCGTATGTTTGAGCCTCCAGTCCCCTCATCATCCTGGTTGCTCTTCTCTGCACTTTTTCCAGAGTCTCAACCTCTTTTTTATAGTATGGTGACCATAACTGGATGCAGGACTCTAGGTGTGGCCTTACTAAGGCTTTATAGAGTGGTATTAGTACCTCCTTTGATCTCGATTGTATCCCTCTGTTAATGCAACTTAGGATGGCATTGGCTTTTTTGGCTGCGGCTGCACATGGCTGGCTCATATTTAGCTGGTTGTCCACTGAGACTCCAAGAATGAATGAATGAATGAATGAATGAATGAATGAATGAATGAATGAATGAACGAACTAGGGGTCTTGAAACTTGACGCTTGAAGACTTGTGGACTTCAACTCCTAGAATTCCTCCCTCAGTCATGTAAGCTTATGAATTCTGGGAGTTGAAGTCCACAAGTCTTAAACTTGCCAAGTTTGAAGAGCCTTGGAATAAACGAATGAATGAATGAATGAATGAATGAATGAATGAATGAATGATGCTCTGGATTTTTTTATTTCTCCAGTGCGCAGAGAAACACAGCATTAGGGGGTTTCCACAAAGGTGGGCAAAAATGCCATGATAGTGTTTGCAACTGCACATTTTTAAAAGATGCTGGATTCAGTTGTGTGGTTATGCAGAGGTCTCCAA